TCTCTCTCTCTCTCTCTCTCTCTCTCTCTCTCTCTCTCTCTCTCTCTCTCTCTCTCTCTCTCTCTCTCTCTCTCTCTCTCTCGTGCGCGCGCGCGGATGTATCCAGGTACTGACCTGCAGAAGGTGGCGCCTTGATGCACGTATGGGCGTGCTGAAAATGAAGCTGGAGCGATGGCATCACAGGTAAGTCGTCTTGTAAGTCCCCTGGCCTCCGCCAGCCTCAACTCCCCAGGCCCCTGCTGCAGCGTACTGCAGCCCAAGCTCGACTACTCCTAGCACAGCGCCCAGCACTGGAAGAATACGTTCCAGTCCAATGCGATGGCGCCCAGCGTGTCACCTACTGAGGACTATGGAGGCACTGCCTCAGTACTACCTCAGGATACTACCTGCTGGACTGGAGGAGGGCCAGCTATGTATGGTGCTGGTCTGTCCAAAGTCCAGCCTCGAACTACTGCTGTGTAGCTGGGCAGGATACTGCACTGGCGCCAAAACGAAAATGAAACGAAACTGGGTCCCAACAGAAGACTGGCGCCTAAACTAGGATACTGGCACCAAAATAAATGAAAATGATCCTGGTCAATCCTGGTATGGTCCTAAAACGGACCCTTAACAGCATAGGTCCTAACGCAGACCCTGGACTGAAACGGTACTGGTCCTAACGGACCCTACCAACCCTGCTAAACCCCTACCAGCGGGGCCATGGGGCTCGTGTGGGACCCGTGGAATGCCACATGAACTCTCTTCAACTGCTTTTGCATTCACTCCAAAAGCCACAACCAAACATGTGAACTGGGAGCCACGTTGTTACATAGACCAAGCAATAACAAAGCACCACATCTTCAAAGCCCACACATGATTACCCATGCAATGTATACACTCATTTATAACCCAGCAGCAATCAGAACTACAAGTTGGAGCTGTAAAATTCTGGAGACCAATCACCTCCATTCCATCCTCGATGAAATGAATGACAGAGAGAAGTTTAAAGTGCACGGTCCCCCACATCTGTGTGGTTGAGCTGGGAGTTCCACACATCCGCCCGCTTGAAGCGCAATTGCAGAGTTCGTATGAATTGCGTGTGTTCTGCATTGGTCACATCATTAGTGACACAGCACAGGCTTCTTACAATGAACAAGCAACTTGAATCAAGCACACAATTGATGGAAAGGTGGAGTATGTCACTTTTCAGTAAGGAAAAGCTGCATAAAGCCCACAGAGCAAGGTGCATCACGCAAGCAAATCGGGCACGGTGCATCATGCAAGCAACAATTATGGAAGGCCACACTGACACGACGCGGACCTGCTAATGGTTCAGAAGACAATTGGTCCACTCACTCACCTTGTATGCCAGTTCAAGTTCAAGCGAAAGCACATCTTCATCAAATGGAATGAGATCTAGAGTGTACTCATTTATTGTGACATCTCCAAAAACTCCCTCTTCTTCTAGAACCTGGTTGCAGACAGCAAGAAGACGAAGTCCAGAGACCTTGAGCAATCATACCCTAAGAATGATGCCTCCATCCTTCTTTCCTTCACTACACTCCTATGTTTCTCAAACTTCTGTACTCCTCTCTCTGCATCTCCATCATTTTAACTCTTACTCTCTCTTTCTTCACCCTCTTTTCATTCCCCTCCCCACCCCCTTCCTTCCCCTTCTCAGGTTTTGCCTGATAATCCTAATCATTGCAACTGAACATGAAAAACATTGGCAGGGTCACCTAGGGCTCTTTTCAACACACAAATCATTTATATGTCCAAGATAGGACCTCATCTTCAGGTGAGTGCTGGTGCTTGACAAATGGCAGCTGTAAATAGACTATACGTCATTTCTTTGTGTTTCGGCTGAGGTAAAAAACAGATGTATACGTCATTTCACTGTAAATAGATTATACGTCATTTCTTTGTGTTTCGGCTGAGGTAAAAAACAGATGTACTATGCCAACACTCCCATACAAGATTCTAGCGAAAACCCTTTCCAATCGGATCTCCAAAATAACAAATAAGTGCTTCCATATCGACCAGACAGGCTTCATCCCGGGTCGTTACATCCTAGACAACGTACTTACATTGAATGAGGCGGCGAGGAAGATTAGGGAAAGAAAAATAAACTCGGCTATACTTTTCTTTGACTTCGAAAAAGCCTACGATCAAGTGAACTGGGACTTCATGGAAGCATGTATGGAGAAAATGTGTGTAGGCCCGAACTTCAGGAAATGGGTTCGCATACTTTACAGAGACGCAGTCGGCTGTGTCCAAGTTAATGGACTGTTATCAGATTATTACCCGATATCTCGCTCAGTTCGACAAGGAGACCCATTGGCCCCATCGATATTCCTTTTTGTAATGGAGGCCATCGCATCCTTCCTGCGCAAGGACCCTTCCATCCATAGGCTCCCTGTCCTCAACGCAGGTTCGGCCCACCGGATAGATTTCCCGACAGCTACCTTGTTTGCAGATGACCTAACCGTGCTTGTTAGAGCTTCAGATTCATCCTTTAGGACATTGGCTAAGGCGATGGAAGCCTTCAGGTTGGCTTCCGAAATGAAGATTAACTGGGGAAAAACAATAGGTTGGTGGCTATCAGATGAGGAACCCCTCCAACTGCAAGGAGAGGAAGCAGCCATGACCTGGGAAACGCCAGAACTTCCGACTCGATACCTGGGTATACTTATGACAAGAGAGGGCCTGGCACCCCAAATGGGTCAAAATATACTAACCAAACAAATCAACAAAATAGGAAAATGGGGTAACATCTTCACATCCCTCATCGGTAGAGCCCTGGCCAT